TTTGCTGTATTAGAAACAGGCAGCTTCTCTTTTCTGAACATACGATGTTCATCTGTGAACCACCCCTTTCCGCTTTCGTTCAACTTATAACAATTGTTCTGACAATATGTTCAGCTCTCTTAACATTTTTAAGAGTTGCAAAACTCACTCATACTTCATGGGAACCTGGGGAGTAATACAAAACTGAAGTGAATGACAGTGTGTCATCCTCTGGGTGTTTGGAACTTTTCTATTTATCTTATATTTTTGTTTACTGAAGTATCAACCTCAAGGGAATGGATAAGGAGTTTTATGAAACGAATAAATGAATATTACAAATATAGGTCTGTCTAACTTTTTATAGCTATGGACAGAAGGAACATCACTACGGGCATTTACAATACACTGCTGTGCAGATGAACGTTAACAAGCAGTAAAGAACGTACATTTGTGATTTCCACTTTGGGGAGCAGACTCACCACTCCACCTTAGGTAGAATCCTGATTACAAGTGCCAAAAAATTAGGAAACAGTTTTGCCGAACTGAGACGAGCCTGCTGAATCCCACCAGTGGATGAGGTTGTCAGCAGCAATCGTAAAGATTAAACAGGAGCTTCGGTGAGCCGTGCGCTTATGTTAACGAAGGAGAAACAACTCAGAAAGGAGGGTGAAAATGGTTCACTCTCTTGATTCAACTCAAAGCATGTAATCGATGCCACGGGTGTTCTGAATGGGTATATGTTTTGCTCTGCATATTCTCAACAACAAATATAACTTTTGAAATAGTAATATAGAGATAGGTTGGGAGGAGGAAGTGGGCTGGGAACTGGAGAGACCTAGATGGTTGGAGAATGGTGGAGAGGTGAGAAAGTCCCAGGCACAAAGATCATCCTAATAAGTCATCAGGATGGCATACAACAATAGCAGTTCTTTAATAAATATATATTTTTAAACAGGGAAGGAAGCATGAGCCATCGGTTAGTGATCAGGGGCAGGATTGACTTCCGAAGCCCCAGCCCTGGGCTGAGGTATGCAATTCCCACAAGTGCCATAGGCTAAGGTATTTTTGTCCATAACGTGTGAATAACAAAACAGAGAGCAGTTCTGTGACTTATGCAAGGTCTTCCAGACAAATTCTGAAAACAGAGTTTTTATCACAGTAGATTGACTTCAAAAACATGCTGTTCAAAATAATTGAAGAAACTGAAATTCGCTTTGGAAAAATACATCAGTAATGTTAATTAACTATTTCTTGCTATTTAGAAATGTTCTTTCCCACAACTCTGCCTCTAGGCAACAGAGCAATTTATAGCATGCCTGCGGCAGTAAGAATTTATACAGTTAATAAGAAAATAAGAAATCTGTTCTGATGAAAGATGGGGGGAGAAATGGTACAGTTTTCTCCCTCTCTCTCTTTTTTTTTTTTACCCCTTAGGCTGTGCTGTTATAGCAGTGGTCAACTTAGCATTACAAACAAACAACTCCCACGGGTGTTTGTAGATAGCATGGATGCTATAGCTATGGCCAAAACACTGTAATGTGCTAAAACACTGTAATGTGCCAAAACACTGTAATGTGCAAACCACAGAAGTAAGCACTGGAAATCCCACTCATACTGAGTGTAAAACTATTACGCAGCCAAACGTGCTTGTAAGAGAAGTAATAAAACAAAATAAGCAAACCGCGTCCTATCAAGTTGACCCCATAGAACAAGTAGAACTGCCCGATAGGCTAATCCATGAAGAGCCCATAGAATGAGTACAACTAATGGGGAGGAAGCGGGGAAATGAGGAGCTGATGCCGGGGGCTTAAGTGGAGAGCCAGTGTTTTGAGAATGATGAGGGCAATGAATGTACAAATGTGCTTGACACAACGGATGGATGCATGGATTGTGATAAGAGTTGTATGAGCCCCTACTAAAATGATTTTTTTTTAAAGAATGAGTAGAACTACCTGACAGGGTTTGCACTGCTGTGATCTTTGTCAAAGCTTACTGGCACATCTCTCTCCTGATGGGATCGTTGCTGGGTTTAAACCGCTAACATCTTAGCTGATGAAATCTTTCAGTTCTATGCCACCAGGTCTTCTGGCAGAAACACTACCCACTGCAGCAAGTGGACTGTGGCTCCCAGTGACCCTAGAGAGGGATTTCGAGGATGCCAGTTTTTACAGTATTAGATAGCCTCATATTTCTCTCATAGAATAGCTAGTGGTTTTAACCCCTAAACCTTACGGTTAGCAGTAGAAAGCTGACCCAACAGCGCCACCAAGGCTCCTTGACAGAAGGAATAGGTCAGCAAGATTAGACAGGTCCAGATGTTGAACGTGTGGATAGAAATTGGTTCTAGAATTAGTAGTCACCACAATACAATACAGTCATAAGAGTAAAGTTTTATTTGATAAATATTTGGGTTCAAATTATACACGTCAATTCACGTAGTATCTGGCCTTAAAATGTTTCGAAAGGATTAATAAAATAATTAGGTCACGGATTTACTTTCCGCCTTAAATTATCCCATGTCTTTATGTATCAATTCCCCCAATTTTATTCCAAGGTCAAAGATTTTAATGAAATAAAATATATTCTTTATAAGCTATTGCATAGAGGAAAAGGTTACTTTTACGTTTTCTCCCCTATAAACAAAGGAAACTTTGTGGATGTCTCATGATGGGTCATTTATGTATCTGACTTATACGTTTGTTACATTTAGGTGGTTGGACATATAACCCACCTCCCAGGGGATGAATAAGAGAAATGTGGGGGAAGGGGAGACAATGGATAGTGTCACACACAATAACATGTAATTGATCAAGGATTCACGAGGTTGGGAGGTGAGATAGTTAACGTTTATTTTCCCAACCTGGCCGATAAACACATGTGGGGTTAATTGAAGGGCGGAGAGATAAATGGCTCAGTGAGCCTCACCTTTCTAGTTCTCGGGTCTCCTGCTTTCTGATGGTGGGACCAGGGTGCGGCTGCCTTAGCCAGTTCCCTGCTTCAGCTGGCAAGGCTCGCTTCCTGCAAGACATCCCTGAGGAGAAGTCGCGTGCATCTACCCCAATGCAGCCCCAGGTGCTGGAGCAGCTGTGTGGAGACCCCTGCCAGCGTTGAGGTGCTTACATGCTCCCTGATTCGGCTTTCCTCCTGCAGTCAGCATCATTGTGTGTTTTGTGAGGTGGAGGAGGACTTTGTGGATTGGTGTTGGACATATGGGCTAATGTTGGACTTGTGGGCTTGGACAGCACTGGGTTGGGATGTTTGCTTGATGTGCACTTACCCTTTATATAAAACTCTCTCTTATACATGAGTTTCTGTGGATTCATTTCTCTAATATACCCAGACTAACACAGGAGGACAGGGGAGGGAGGGAAAAAATAGAGGAGCTGATACCAAGGGTTGAAATAGAAAAAAAAAAAGGTTTTGGAAATGTTGATGGCAACATATGTACAAGCGTGCTTAATACAATTGAATGATGGGTTGCCATAATATTTGTAAGAGCACCCCAATAAGATGATAAATAAATATATATATGATGTTTTGCTAGTTGAAACTAGTAAAGCGATCATTAGAAAAACAGGGCGCTTATTCTTGAGTAATTTTGAATAGTTAGGGGACTTTAGCTATGTGAGTTTATTTCCCAGAATCTCCTCTTTTGTTGTGAAACTTGCACAATAGTAATTAATATCTTCTTCCTCATCTTTTACATCAGCATGATCAGTTCTTCAGGAAACTCTCCTAAGAGGCTCAAGGAGGTTCTTCGGAACATGACCATTTTTCTGAATTAGCTTCTTGCAAAGTGTCTTGTACATATGCTACATTAACGTTGCCCTATTTGTTTTCATCTGCTGAAAGAAAATGCGCTCACCTTTTCTTGTCTGTTCTGTTTTTATCCGTGGCCTTCCTTGTCCCTAATCGTGACTTGGTTCCATGATATAAAAATACTACCTAAAAGTACTTGAACTTTCACTCTTATATTCCTACATTTGACACACACAAGAAGCTTCATGGAAAAAAGGTTACTATCTTTTTTTGATGTCCCCTGATATGTATTGGAAGGAGGCCTGGTGGTGTAGTGGGTACTCAGTGGGCTGCTAACTGCGCCATCAGCAGTTCGGAACTGCCTGCTGCTTCTCAGGAGAAAGAAAAGGCTTTCTATTCCCATAAAGAATTAAACTATTGGAAACCCACAGGTGCAGTTCTCCCTTGTTCTACAGGACAGCTATGAGTTGGAATTATCTTGATGGCAGACAGGTTTCTGTTTGGTTTTGTGTTTGAGCATGTATTCAAGGTCTGCAGCATGCAAAAGTTGGGTCTGTGGGTGAGTGTGACATTATTTCAGCCATAGAATCACTTATTGAAAATGAAAGCCATGGTTCAAACCTCAAACTTCACTGCCATTTGAGACAATTACAGCTCACAGCAGGCAGCCTATGGCAAAAAGGAAACCTTTCAGCGGCAGGTCATCCCGATCTGCTCTCCTAGAGTCTCGGAGTTCGCTTTAGAAGCCAGGGCTCGGGCCGTTGCTTTGCCAGTCAACTTCTGAGTCACCCCACTCTGCCGTATCACAGAGGCCCAAGTTGACCTGGAGAAGTCCGGGCAGATTTGAGGCAAATCTTCACAAGCTAGCTTTTACTTTTCACATCATGCTTCAGCTAGAACCTTTATGACTGCCTGGAACAGAATGCAATATTCATGGCTTGTTCAATTAAAGAAGGAAAAAATATATGTTCAGCCCAGGACAGATCCTTCCAACTTTAAACCCTCACACAGGTGAAGGGTCGACTAGTGGATAACGTTCAGCTTGGGAGTTTGCAAATATTTCTAATATGATTGCATTCTTAATGTACGACAATCCTCAGGTTAAAAAAGATTGTATCAAATCGATTTTCTACAGTTAAAACTATCCTATTGGATGATATTTCACAAAATGGTCTTTTACTGTAGGTTTTCCAATGACTCTACAAGTTTCAGTCCAAGTAGGTTACTATATGTCCGTATGTCTCCTTGTTTCAATGGCTTACCTTGCCGATGCTTTTCCACATAATGAGAAATATTGAAGAGCAGCGATATCACAAGGGCCAAACCCAAGAAGGCTACAAGTGTCCAGACAAGAAAATGACATTCAGGGTTTTCTAGAAATAAAGGTAAAGGTACCAATAAAATAGTTGCTGGTGACCTATCTCCTACAATTAGAAACATTGCATTTTTTCCTAATAAAAGATATTACTCTCCTTTAAAACAAAGTACAAATTTCTGGTTAGAAACATTAAATATTTTTGAGGGGGGATACAAACATGTAGGGTAATTTATCCAACAAGAACATAATCCACTGGACATCTATGAAAATCCTATCGCATAGTAATTATTAATTTGAATATACTAGAAACCAAATTTAGCATGATACTGCATACTCATATGTTCTTAGAATTACTTGATTTTTATATGTTCTATTGTTCTTAAAAGGAAACAAATTCATGCCAAGTAATATTGAAATATAAAACATATATGGTCCTTTATAAAATATACACACATGTACTTTAGTCTCCAATGGTATGTGCTATACTAACCAACATTTTAAAAAAAACTGACTGGTATGTTTGTGGGATTTAACCATTTTTAAAAGTCATTTTTAGTGCCTGTATAGTATTCCATAGTGTCGTGGTAATAGCATTCATTTCTCTAAGGTGGATCCAAACCGTGCCAGTAACCCCAGTGTGCCAGCGTGGACTTAAATATCGAAGAGCCTCTAAGAGTAGAATTCCTGAGTCTAAGGCACGGTGGGGAATTATAAGAAAGATTCTCTACATCATCCCACTTGATGACAGGACCCTTCAGGAGGCTGCGTTAGTTATCATTGTGAAAGGTGGAGTCAGCACGCTGCCTTGCTTTCTAGATACCTGTTTCTCTCTTGCTATCACGACCAGTGGTGAACGAGCGGCTTTCTATACTAAAATGTTTTCTTTGTTTCCTCTTGTACATAGCACTAACGCCCCCACAGTTCGTATACTGAGTTACGTTCTATGCATTTTTATACCAATACTTTCTATTTCAGGATATTCGATCAGCTACAATCAAACTCTAATCACACACCATCGACTCTCCCTGTGTTTCATTGAGTATCAAAGGCTTTCCGTTGTATTGCTCTGAAGAAATGATAGCCAGCATTGGGAAGCCTAGAGATTGCAAACTATGCTCGTGCAACACCTGTATGCTCTGCATCATAGAAGCGGGCAATGAAACCGAATGAGGTGGCATGGTGTGCTTTAAAAGCAGGAAAAGTGTGCATCAGGGTTATTTAATCTATATGTTGATCAAACAATCCAAGAAGATGGCATCAGGCTTATAAATAACCTGTGATTTGAAGATGACATAATCTTGCTTGCTGTAAAAAAAAAAAAGGATTTGAAGCATAGTATTTAGTGTGGACTTCACCTCAACATAAAGAAAACCCAAATCCTGGCAACTGGACCAGTAGACCAGCATGACACACAGAGGAAAGCTTTCAGGAGTCAAGGGCTTCATTTTATAAGCAGTGGTCATGGAAACAGCATGCTCTCAGGGAATCAGGTAGCATCTTGCACTGGAAAAATCTGCTACAAAAGAACTTCAAAATGTTCAAAAGTAAAAATGTCACTTTGAAGACTAAGGTGCACAGGACCCAAGCCATGGTCATTTCATTGGTCATAAATGGATGCCAAAGATGGACAATAAACAAGGAAAACCAATGAAAAATCGAAGCATTTGAATTATGGTGTTCGTTAAGACTATGGAGTACACCACCTATATGATAGTTAGGTCTTACGACAACTAGACAACTAGGGGCAGCATCCAAGCTACCATTCAGTCACAGCCTGATGACACCTCTTGGCTGTGACCTTTTGTATGAGGAGAGCGACTGAGCAGAGTTAAATCTTTGGTCTTTCACCTTCTGCTGGAACTGAATCTCCTCTCTGGTTCCTTGATGTCTTATAGCATCTCCCCTGCTCCCCACCCCCAGTCCCCGGAACTGTCACTTGACTACCACTGGCTGATTAATTCAGGTAAGTTATACAGTATTCAACTAAGCTATGTGAGCTCAACCTCACCACCAGGAAACAAATGCTTGCACAAAACCCGAGTGGAATCACACTGAATGTGATCTCCTGAAGCCCACATACTCATTTTGAGAAGTATAAAAATTAGGTGTTCCTTTTATCTTTCAGTTTTTCTACTTTTATCTTTTATCTACTAACTAAATGCACCCTTGTGACAATAAAATTCAATCTCCTAGGTGGTGATTTTATTTTTGTTTTTTGAGTCATCTTGAACAACTTATAATTTTCAAAAGAACGACGGTTACCTTCACATGTCATTGCATCTCTGCATATTTATTTAAAATACTCTTTCTATTTAACCGCCTGGAAAATTATCATTATTTTTCAAGTCTACCTTCTCTTTAAGAGTTTCTTGAATTTTGTCTGCCATCCATGAAGTAACATATATCTTTTTGTATGGCCACAGATTTTGAGGTAACCATTTGTACATAAATCTTTCTCCCTTGTTGTGAACTTCCCAAAGGGTAGATACATAGTCTTATTCCTCTTTGTCTGCATTCCTAGGTTTCTTCATATATAAAAAGGAAGTGCTTATTTAAAAAAAACAACATTCTCATTCAGAGCTACCCCATGTGTGTTAGAGTAGAGCTTTGTTCCCTCAGGCTTTCAATGGGTGACTTTTGGGAAGAAGGTTGACAGAACTTTCTTTCAAGGCACCTGTAGGTGAACTCAAACCTCCTGCCCTTTGGTATGTGCTGAGCCCCACTTTACTCCCAGGAAAGAAATGCTTACATAAAACCTGAATGGAGTCACGCAGAGTAAAAAAAGCTCCTGAAGACCATATACGCAGTTTGAGAAATAAAAATTGAGGGATTTTTTTTCCTCTTTTAGTTTTTCTACTTTTATATTAAGGACCTACAATATTTACTTTTGCTAACTAAATTCACCCTTGGGACAATAAAAATTAATGTCCTTCCTAGGTAGTGTTTGTCTATGTTGGTTTCTCTTCCCATTTCACACAGTATCTAATATTTGGAATAACCTCAATAAATAGTTATAGTCTGGACAAGTAGAATACAGTACAATATAAAAGGCACATTTCATACTTCTAATTTTTTATTAAAATTAGGAATCTAGTTAATTTATTTTTACCATTGTCGTAAAATTACAGTGCAAACAAAAGTTCCTCTTCCTTCTTTTGAATTAAAAGGAACATTAAAATAATTGCATTCATGTAGAAATTGTTGCAAGAAGAACACTTTGCTCTCAGAAAACAGTCATTATAAGTCTACATTTTACACTAAAGGCTTTAGGGAAAGTCCTAAAATATGTTATTTAAAAATATGTCAGCAATGCTAATGAAAGAGCTTGAACCATACTATACATTCATTTGGGACTGGGTTCTGTCATTTATTATTAAACGAAATTTATTTCACATAATCAACTAAATGCCTTTTCAAACACAGGCTGAATTCTAATGTGTATGAATCTGTCAAAACGGTCTCTAGTTTGGGGTGGGGGTGGGGGTTAGTCCGAGGAGTACTGTTCTTGTCTTCCTAAACTCTTTCCCTGTTTCTTTTTCCCCCTTCTCTTTTGCAATGTGATTTCAGATTTAAACAGTGGGATTCTCAGTTAGGAGCTTTCCATTTCATGACATTCTTGAAATCCTCCATGCCTTCCTGATTGCCAAAAGTGAATGCCACTCTTTAGCACACACACACACACACACACACACACACACACACACACACACAAAAGAGTAGAGGTATCGATATGTTAAATGTTGTAAAATTTCAGCTCGAATGGTAGATCTGTATCAATGCTGACACATGCACACCCCCATGTACACACATATACTTCAGACTACTCCCTGTTCACTTATTCTTTACTCAGGTGAGTATCTATTCAGGAGATACAATGTCACTTACAATATTGGATGCACAAAGTGCTGAAATTCTTGTTTAATGTGTGCAATCTTTATAATGATTATTTGTGAACTATAATTATTTTCATTTACATATGCTTCATCAATTTAATAACTTCCTCACAATTTGAATGTCGCTCTTTACATTGGTAAAAGCCAAGGCCATGAGAAGTTAGTACTGAGGCAAGGGCAGCTAATGAAACCATGGTTTAAGTTGCTGTCTTTCTTTCAAATGCCAGAGGCTAACAGTAATGGGCTCAATTATAAGACCTCTGACTCTCCTCAAGCCATAGTAATTGGCAGGAACTGTATTGTAATTAACAGTTGTTTCTGCTATGGAAGAAAAAAAAGCTAAGAAAAGATATTGTCTTACTGCTGAAAGGTCTGATTCATAAGAAGTCTTCATTTAAACAATGAACTATAGAAAATCAACAAAAATGGCCTTAATTGATTCTCTTTCAGGGAGCGTTAACTGAAGGATATGTATGAGTTTACAGTATGTAGCATATGACTTGTTCTGGCTTGTAAACTCTGACAGATTAGTGGCCCTTCTGTCTTTGCATTTCATGAATTACCCATGAAATGGTGTATGTTTATTTCAGGGGTCCAAGAAAGTTCAAAGAAAAGTACTAATACTAAGAGCCACCAATTCTACTCATGTGTACACCCCACCTACCCACTGCCATTGAGTCTGTTATGATTCATAGCTATCCTCTGAGATCAGCTGGTGGATTTGAACCACCGACTTTGAGATTCGCAATCTAATGCTTACTCAACAGTGCCATCAAAGTGTATTCTTTTATGTGTTTGTGTGATTTTTTTTTCTACTACGGGGATGGTTTGCTGCTGAAAAAGACATTCTTGACAAGTTTGCGGATGCGGCACATGACTAACATCACTAACTCCAAGATCCCCCTGCAGCACCCACTCACTCCCTTGGCCACTACCATCCTCATCGTTGAAGAGCATTGTGATCACAGAGATTAGCACTGGATGTGGTTGTCCCTTGCTGTTGAGCTGATTCCCACTGATGGCAACCCTGCGTGTCATTGCCTGCCATTCCTACTCACGGCAATCCTGAGTGTGCAGGACTGCCTGCCATTGAATGTTCACGGCTGTGATCTTTTTGGAAACAGATTGTGAGGCCTGTCTTCCAAGGTTCCTCTGGGTGGTT